ATCTATAACACCTCAATGGAGGGGCAACAAAGGGTCTCACTGAGTAGGAGACATATCCAATTTTGACTTTATTGGGCAAATTTTGGCCATGGAAGGTAATCTTCAATGTGGCAGATGGCTCTCGATTACCATTTTTAAACCTGTTCAGACGAATTATATCAGAAATAGCGGTATTTTCAGCACTGGCGAGTTCCATAATTTCTTCTACGTTAACTTTTGGGTCAATTGGTCCAAAAACACCACACACCCGCACATCTGAGCCTGGCTGGTAACAGCGAACCGTCCACTTTCCGATCACAGATACTGATAGGTAGTTAACAATGTTTTCTCCTGTGAATGAGGAAGACTCCAATGCAACTAGCTGGCGACGTGGATTGGGACGCACAATCAAATCATCCAGAGACCCAAAAGGTGAGCTTTTGATTCCCTGTGCAAGTCCAATAGGATCTTTGAGAAATGTCACAGCATTTGGACCCTGAGGTCTGATCAGTATTGTTCTTCCACCCCCAGAACTTTGCAGGGTAGCATTGGTTGGAAGCTTGACCGCCTTGACGTTTGTCATGCTGGTGCCCTTTGCAGAGCCACTCTGTTGAATTCTATTGTTTTGCACTGCAGGACGCTTCACGTTTCCCCTCTGAAGGCTCTCACTTGATGAGCTCTTTTCTCTATTTCTGCGCTTTCGTCCAACAATCTGTGCCTCCATAGGATTAGGAGTTGCTTCAATGATGCTTCCACAGTCAGTTTCAGATTCTTCCACGAAACCATCAGAAACAACAACCTCATCATCCAGACAATCACTTATCATTTCATTTTCCTTACCACCATCTTCTGCGCTTCCACTAATTTCAGGAGGACCAAACCCTGCGCCAGCAAGGCAGCTGGGATCACTCATGTCAGAAGAGTTCAACTTGCCCAATAAACGAAAACAAACAGCAACAAATTAACAAAGAGGGAATAAATAAAAGGGAAGAAGAAAAGAGGAAGAAAAAAATAGTAAAAAAAATAAATAAAAAAAGGAGAAAGAAAAAGAAAAACAAAAAATTGAACAAATAGAAAAAAAACTAATAAAATAAATAAAAATTCAAAAAATTCAAAGCAGACTGGCAAACCTCAGAGGCTCAGAGGCCAGAGGGAGAGAGCCAGTTGCGTCTGAATGTATTAATTGTAGGTTTGAGCAAGGGATTACAAATAAATCTGAATATCTATAGCTTCAAAATTCGCCGGTTATTTCAAGGAACGAAAATTACACACGTGCTTTCGCCACGAACGCAACTGACTTTCTCCATGTTTACTCTAAGTCTCCAACATCTACTACACTACTAGGTCTCCTGCTTCTGCATCCGTAAAAATAACAAGTCCGCAAAGTCTCATTAACATAATTGAAAAAATCCTTCCTTTAGAGCTAATTATTAATAATTATTAATATTATCAATATTAATAATTATTATTTATTTATATATTGATTTTGAACGAAGACTTGGAAGGTTTTCCCGTCCTAATTTATGGTTGACTTTAAAGTTGAACCCCATGCAAATGCATATAATAATCGTTCATATACGCTCATATACAAAACGTGTAATGGGAGCACATTCATCGTGAATACGACGCTTTTCAATTTTCTACTCAGTCCTTACGCAACTCCTCTAGGATGATTGTTCGAAATTATTTTGAGGTGGTTTGAAATAGCGATTTTTAGCGCTCACCTCTAGTAATCGGTTATTAATTATAACGTAATTTTTCTCTTACTTTAAGATCTTTGATCACACGTGATATACACGGCAATGAAGCTACATAGACATGACCAATATTTTCCTCCCTTTTTGACCCTCAAGCTAGAGTTTTGTCTGCAAAGTGACGCTACCGCATTGTGAGACAGAAACGCTACCGCATTGGCCTGCCAGTAGATGCTGGTATGTTGGATTGACGATGCTATATCTGTCAGCTAGGGCACCTCTTGGCACAAGGAAATGAAGAAATCGTTATTTTTTGCTGAGATTAAAGATAGTTAAGGTACATGGCCGTGTTCATCTCAGTTGAGCAGTTGTGAACTAAAGCTCAAATTGGTTTACCGTCAAAGCGAATAGAATTCAATAGAAACGATCTATTTTAAGAAAAATAACTCCCATCCTTCAAGCGCGATCAAAACAACTTCGTAGTCATCATGTTTTTGAACCCAACAAATGGTGATTCTAACAAATATTATAAAGTTTTTAGTGATGAGCGGCGAAGTATGTGCAGTTTCTGTTGATAGGCAGCCAATGTGTCATTGATGGTTGTTGTTGTTGTTGTTAGTTGCGACCGTCACGCTCGCCGGGGGGGAGGCTCTGGTGGCGGGCGGGGGGCCGGAATCGGAAGAGGGGGGAGGTGGACGAAGGCAGGGAGGGTGGCCAGGAAAGCCGCTGCCTCCAC